CATGCACAAGGATCCGGGGGTCCTGATCGCGAAATGCAGAACTGTCGTCACTTTTGGACTTGCGTTTCGTCGTCGCGTCTCAAAAGCGTCAACATTCACACGGATCGGGGAAGTCCTTGTCGCGCATCGCAAAACTGTCGTCACTTTTGGACTTGCGTTTCGTCGTCGCATCTGAAAAGTGTCAACATGCACAAGGATCCGGGGGTCCTGGTCGCGAAACGCAGAACGGTCGTCACTTTTGGACTCGCGTTTGGTCGTTGCGTCTCAAAAGCATCAACACTCACACGGATCGGGGGGGTCCTGGTCGCAAAATGCAGAACTGTCGTCACTTTGGTGCATGTTTTTTGTCCACCCCTCAGTCTGCTCAAGGTCCTCCTGCCCAGCTTGGCAAGACATCTTTCCACCGCACTTTTACCTCCTGCTTTTCCCTCTTGGTCATCACTCGCTTCCATAGTTGCCACATTGTCACTTGACATTTTGATCAAATTTCCGGCCGACAGGCATCTGAAGTTTCCAGGCCCCCCCCCCGGTACTCTTCCCGTCCAGCATTGAGTGCTGGAGCCTTTCCTCTCTTCCAACTCCCAGTCCAATTCCTCAAGCTCACCCAGCTTCTGGTTCCAGTCATCTTAAGTAAAACTGCCGAATGCCCCTGCACTGGACACAAGTGCAGTAAATTCCTCCATGCCCTGCCCCCCACCGCATCCCACCAAAAACAAGATCTCCTGACATGGCCTTCGTGCACGTCAACCTCCAGGGTCTGAAAGTAGGCCCTGACCTTGGTCGCAAGGATTTTCTGCCCAGCAGACGGGGCCCTGGTGGAGAGGTCTGCAGTTTGGGCTGCAAGGCTGCAATGTAATCTCGAGAGTTCTGAACCTGTACCATTTCCATTCCGATTAAGCTACAAGTTGGGCCGTGACCGTAAACCTGGGAAACCTCCAGACTTGAAACTCCAAGACATTACAACCCCAGCCCTCGACATACCCAAGACAACACAAAAGTCAGTTTGCATGCTTTGTTAGCTGAGTTTTTAGGCTTACAAAAGATTCGCGACTCACGGTTGAGTTACCCTTGAGGTTTCCCCAGAGACATGCTAGTACGTACCTGAACCCTAAGTTGCAAACTGCTATTGAAGCTGTCTAGTGTGCGTTTAGCACAGAGTGTCAACTTCGCTGAAGATCTACTCAACTCTACCCTGTATCACCGCACAGATCAATGCTCCATCAAAGAGTTTGCCGCATGTACCCTGCTGTTGGTTGAGGCTCAGCATTTGGGATGTAGGCGTTTTCTTGACCCTGCTATGCCTTGGCAGGCTGCAGCCGTTTGAAGGAAGGTTCTTGTGGAGTTCAATGCAGGTTCATACCTGGAATCAAGGGGACACAAGAGGACACTAGGCAGAGTTATAACCACAAGGCCGAGTGAGGCAGCCTACTTCGACTTCTTTGTGGAGCCCTCGATCTTTGCCACAAATACCCTACGGGTCCTTCACGGCTTCATGATAACTTGAACCCTACAGACTTCAAGAATTTTGCGTGGGCTGTGGCAGTGGCTACCTACTGTTGCTGACCCCCTGTTGGGTGGCACCAGGACATCTCACAGAAGGTCAGCACTACCGTAAACTCACCCCCTGAGCTCCTGGCGATGGGGTCTTGCAATACAGCCGAGAGCTGGGCTTGCGAAATCATACCTTGCTCGGCTTGCTCAAAATCTCCCTAGTGCTGAGCAAGGAATAACGGCATGTAAAATCCTCAGCAGGCTAATCCCTTTGCCAATCCCAGTGCCAGACTCCCTCCTTATCTCAACCATAGAGCTTGAATTCCTCGAACTGAGGGCTCAGTAGTTTGGAAATCTATGGCTTTAGTTGCTGTAAGCTTCGAGCTACCTGTCGCACTTGCACTGTCACCAGAATACAAGAATACATCGGAATTCCGGATTCATTCAACTGGGCATGTGCTTCGTATCTTTAATGCAAAAATGCATGCTACTTTGTACAATGCTGATTGATGTTTCCTTCTCAATGCTGCATGATTGTAAACCTCTTTGCGGTTCTTCTACAACTACAATGATGATGGCTTAAGGTTCTGACAGATGAGAAACTCCAGACTGAGTGCTTTAAGGCTGGGAAGAAACACGCATGCTCGGAGGTGGCTGGGGCAATCAGTCAGCGGCATGGGTGGAAAAGTCTTGTGCGTAGACAAAGACGCCATTTCCAGTCTCGTCTATGGCTTGGAAAACTCTTTCCAGCTTTTTCACCTCAGACTGGAGGGTATGTGCTTCTGGCCTACTTGCTGAAAACTTTGCAGCGGACATCTCTGTGCCACAACATCCACAGACAGTGCCAGTCATGCAGCCCAGTTTGGACACGATATTCCAGTTCAAGAGGGGTTGGTCAAAAGGAACTGGGGAAGTTTGGAATTCAAACCCACTTGTGTTGTATCGATTTGCAGAAACCCCTGCTTGAAATGCCTTTGGTGGCTGGGACCAGGAGGCGTCCCTTAACCCAAAACCATAGGCGCCAATCCATCAGCTTAAGATCAAACGCTAAACCATAGCGGAACAACGAAAACCACAAACAGATTTCGCATTCTCGAAACCGCTGGTTTAAATGGCCTCGACTTGCAGTTTCCTGGGCGCTATTCGCGATGACCTCCAACATGATTTTGCTCAAGTTCACCATCAAACTTGTAGTTGAAGGAAATCATGTCAGGCCCTTAAACTGACGCAAGAAACGCCTTCTTGCTGCCATCACATGTCCCCATATACAACCCGAATACCCTGCAGTTCAAATCTTTTGCCATACAAACGGTCAACCTTTTCGGTCCTTCACTACTAACTAGACATTATCAGTCCTCCCCATTTGAACTTGATGAGCGGTTGCAGTTGGATCGGTGTAAGTTGCTGGAATTTGCAGCTATAACAAGTATCGTGTTGATACCATTCTCAGTGCGACTGTTTTTCCGGAGGATATCTGCGCTTTGTGCCTGAAACCACAAACCCTTGATTCTTCTTCTGATCCCCGTATGACCCCTTCCACTTGAGCAGAGCCCTTGAAAATCTGGGTTGCCATTAAGGAACTTACATTGGGTTACTACAGAAGGAAACCCTTTTATTTGCTATATACTCAAAATACGGGAACTTAATTTCAAATTCAAACCCTATTATTTATTATATACTCAAAATATGGGAACTTAATTTAAATTCAAGACCTATTGTTTACTATATACTCAAAAAATGGGAACTTAATTTGAATTCAAACCCTGTCATTTACTATATACTCAAAACATGTGGGAACTTAACTTAAATTCAAACCCTTTTATTTACTATATACTCGAAATATGGGAACTTTATGCAAAGTCCTGAACAGCAACCCGGAAAACCCTAAACCCTAAACCGGAAATGAGGGCGGAACATACTGCGACTTCTTTTGGAGCCGCTCCTGAGCCGACCCGGCTGGAACTACTTGGGGTACACAACTCTTAATGGGTTTAGGGTTTAGGGTTTAATGGAGAAGAGAATGGAAACTACTAAATAATGGGGTTGTATACTAGATTAAGATAATGGTGGTTGGTAGGTGGGGATACGGGAATTCTACGGGATAAATACCATGGATATACGGGATTGTGGCGAGTAAACATGGATTGAATAATCAAGCGAAAAGAAGCCAGAGCGTATGTTGTACAGTAAATTATCCTGAAGAGGCATTGGACCATACCTCTTTGGTACCCATCATGCTGACAGCCTCAGACCACTGAAATGCCATTAGGTTTTGAAACAGGGCTGCGCCTGCAATCGTCATGCCTGCCTAAACAATACAATTGTATTGACATCCACTTTAAACTCCATGCAGGCTTCAATTCTTGCAGGCGCCTGCCCAAAGAACCCTTCAACCAAGATATACAAGACTTACAGCTACTCAGCTACAGGTAGCACCAAGCAAATGAGATGCTAAGCCCATGGACGGAGACCAGAGAAGAGACGGCTCTCGGCAAACACCTTCCCTTCAGAAATGCTTGGCCTTGGTTAAACTCTGCGATATCCCTGAATGGCTTTCTGACAACAAGGCGCCACAACAAGATGCTCTGCATCGTTGCTTGCAGCATCCAAGGTGTCTTTGAGAAAGATCGCCGTGATGACCTGTGGGTTTTTTTCCGTGATTGCCTGTGAATTAGTAGTGTGGTTCATGTGCTGAAACTGTTTTACGTCATCAACGATGTTGTTGTAATGCTGGAACTCGCAATCGTCACAACATTACGAATTCCAGCATTACAATTGTCAACGAAGATGTTGTTGTAATGCTGGAGTTTGCAAACGTCACCAGCATCCCCCAAGAAACATCACTAGACAGAAGGGAAGGGGAAAGAGGAAGAAAGGAAAGGGGCACTTCGAGAGCGAGCATCACTGCAGATCCTTAGCTGGACCTGTCAACAATAATGTGAATGTATTGATGGGACCTTGTGGTCGTCGCCAGCTCAGCAGTAGATGTAGATGTAGTGTTGGGACTCGCGGTTTAAAATCTGGGGCTTCTGTTTTTTACCATTCTTTTTTCCAAGCTGCCAATCCAAGCTGGAAAGCCTTCAGGCGCAGGAGCTCCAGCAATACACCAGTACAACCCTCGTTGGGACAGTCATCGCCAAACGCACTTACGGCACTCCACAAAAACCATTCAAAGCATACCCTCTCGGCCCACCTTCCAGGCTCCAGGTTTATAGGCTTCAGGTAATCTATATACATATGTATATATGTACTTGATGTAATAGGGGGCCTATGATTACCTGACCCTTCAGCCAACATCTCAGTCCCCTTTTAATCTCTTCTTCTAAACCCTCCCGCAAACATCTCGGTCCCCGAATATGGCGGGTTCTTGCTCCCTCTAAATTCCTCTTCTAGGTTCCCCTCTAAACTGCTCTTCTAGACCCTCCCGTGAACATCTTGGTCCCCGTTCAAATTTCTCTTCTTAACTCTCCTGTCGACATCTCGGTCCCGTGTTAAACTCCTCTTCTAGTCTCGGTCCCCCTTTAAACTCCTCTTCTATACCCTCCCGCGAACATATTAGTCCCCCTTTAAACTCCTCGTCTGGACCCCCCGCGAACATCTCGCCTTTTAAATTCTTCGCTTTTGCGGTGAAACTCTTTCCCCTGACTATTCAGGTTCCCCGCTTGTACGGCTAGACGATTTCGCCTTTATACCCTTCAAATTCTCCATTGTTACGGCTAGACTAGACTCGTTCGTCCAGTACCCTTCAGTTGAGCGTTTACGCTTTAACTCTTTGGCCCTAACCATTCAAATTCTTCGCTTGTACGCTGAAAATATTTTGCGCTTACGTATACCCTTCAGATTCTCCGCTTGTACGGTTAGACTATTTCGCCCTAATACCCTTCATCCGCTTTTACGCTTAATCCCCTTAAATTCTCTGCCTTTGCTCTTCCAACTTGCAGCTTTTACGGAGCAACTGGAAAATTTGGGGTTGCAATGTTTAGGGTTTGCTCTCTACACCTTTTTGAAATATTTTGAAGGTATTCAATTTTCTGAATGTTGTGAGACCTGCTGGGCGGCTGGTATTTTCTTTCATTTGAGACAACTGCTCCTGGAAAAACATGTTCGGGCTTGAGATGCCCAACCCTTTTTTTGGGAAGGGACTCTAGAGGACGCCCTGACTCCTGCCTGCCGGTCAGCGGAACTAGCTGCTGCACCACAAGTGGGCACACACATACAAACACCCCTACAAGAGTGAGAACCTATCGACTGCCTCGCTCCACGAATGCCCGTAAACACTCAACAGCGGCTGAACTGTCGTCTGTGTGGACTCCGTGGTCTGCAGAAAAAACCCCTGGAATGCAGCGTACAACTGCTCCGAAACTAGCAGTTCAACGACGCAACAGGTTTCCATCATTGGCAAATGCTGCAGGAAGTGTAGTAACTGAATGGTCGGCTCAGTCTCAGCATTGCCATGCAGCATCATGTGACCCTGACTGGTATTCACCCATTGGAAAGCAAAGCAAGAAGCCGAGGCCACTGAACCAGAACTCCTGTCAACCACGCGATGCCATGCCCCAAAGCGTGTCGCAACCCCGGCCAGGAACATTCCACCGCCACATGCGGTGTGGGAGCGTAATACTGCACCACCTTTTCGGCATGCCGCGACCACGCATCACGGTCTCGCGCTAACTCTTCAGCATCACTTTGTCCCCCAGGCGGCGGGAGAACTTGAAGCATCTTGGCACCCCACTGATACAAATGGTGCCATGGTGCTGGAGGCCTCATAGGGTACCTGGGGTTCTGCATCACCCATCGTGCACGGACATCAGGCGTGCCTTCGGTGTCAGGTTTCCTGAGGTGGTGCCCCAAATAACCCCATTTTCTCTTAATGAAGCAAACAACCCATGAATACTGTGGATATTTGTCGAGAAACATGATGATGGCGCGTCTTCGCAATCTTAAAACCCAGTGAGCAGATGCAGGGGACAAATGCATTGGGATACCGAGCTTGAGAGCAAAGATGAGGGTATAGTTCTGTAGCGAGACGATCTTCTGGATGGCGTAATTGAAAGGCTCAATGAGAGGCGCAACCCAAAACCAAGCAGAAGCAATATATCTAGTGACAAGTTGAATTGCATGTAGCGGCCTGCTCCAATGGCATAGATTGAGTAGGGACCTACGGGCCTCGATTTTGGCATGAATTGTAGTTTGCACATCTCCCAACAAATTATCAGTGATAGTGCAGCCAAACGCGTACATGCTGATGGTCTTTTTGAGGTACTTCCCTGTGGTCCCCCAAGATGCCCCAGCAACAAGTTCGGTGAAGCCTCCCGAGGCCAACTGATGGCGCCCTTCATGGAGACAATCACTAGCCGCTACAAACTGGGACTTGTCCGGGTTTATTCGCAAGCCACAGGCACGAAGTGCTGGGATGAGAGCCTGGAGAAACGTTTGAACCTGACCCCAATCGTGAAATACAAGGAACAAATCGTCAATGTAAGCCCATCCATCAGGGTCCCGCGTGTGAGGCTGCGTGGGATGGTGACCTTGCCATTCTCGAAAGACCCCTTGAAGGACCCATCCCAGAATCTTGGAAAACAAGCCCGGAGAATGAGATGCTCCCTGTAGCAGCCCAGAACTTACGTCTTGGCACCAGGTTTCTTCGTCCCACCGTATCTGCACCTTTTGGTGGAGAACCAGCCACAGGAGGGCACACTTCTCCCGTTGCAGGTTATGTGGAGCGCAGGCATCCAGGAACTTCTTGATAGTGTGGTGGCTTAGCGAATCGAATGCCTGGGCTATATCCAAACAAACGACTATTGGCGTGCCCCCTGTGCGTGAATGAAATTCGGCACTGTACACTGCAGCAAGCAGCGCATCCAAAGGTTGCTGTCCGGAGCCACCCCCAGCCTGCACAGGGGTGGCAGGCCAAGCCTTTTGCAAGCGCTGGATAAATATCTTTGCCAACAGTTTGTGCATGGAATCAATCAAGTTGATGACTCTGAAATGCTTCGGAAGAGAAGGGTTATTGTTCTTGGCCAAGAGAACTGCTTTAGACAGGCGCATGTCCAGCAGAAAATCGAAGGAATTGATCATGTGCTGTAGCATGTCCCGGAGCAGGTCTTTCATTGCCAGAGCGCACGAAGGAAGTCGCCTGAAATCCCAGTCAATCCACAAGATTTTCCCACCGATATCTTGCTTACCGCCGCCGCGACTTCCTCCAAGCCGAGCACTACATGGGCTGACCCCTCTGCTGACTCATGCAGCGGACAAGGATCACATCCATCCGGTGGATGCTCGACCGTGTCCCCAGCCCCAAAGACTCCACGAAAGTGCTCAGCGAGAAGATGCTTGAACTGACCACACTGACCATAACGCGGTCCAAGCAGGGATTCAGGGGAACACTGTTGTGTCTTTGTATGTAAGCAATAGCATGTGAGTCCCCTTGCTGAGCACGTGTCTCCAAGCTTGCCCACCAGGAAAGCCTGGCAGCCCTCCGCAATACATGAATGTTCTGAGTGAGCAGGCTCCTAGCTTGGGGGTCCGTAGTGGAGTTCGTCTGTGAGCACAACCGTTTAACTGTATCTGGGTCTCGGTATTTGAGGGAAGACCTTCGGGTGGAGCAGGAGGAAGCAAGATTAACAAGTCCCTGCCATCTATCTGAGGGCTCAAGCTCGAGGACTCCATGTGCCCCAACTTCTACGGAGTCGTAGTGAACCCACCATCTACCGGACCGATCTTGCTTGCCCCTCGCCCTGCGCCTACAAGATTGCCGTTGATGGGAACAAAGAAGAATCTCACATACCACAAGTCGATGATCACTGTGTACCACCTGTAGAGCTGTAGAGCTTCGTCCTGAATAGAACATCGGGTGAAATCATGGAAACTGCGCCGCTGTAAAGTAGCACGGAGATATACATAGTCGTAAATACGGGAAGAGCACCATCCAAACCAGGTAGGTTCACCGGGATCATGGCGCGAAAAAGATGAAATTAGCATGGCGGCATCTAGCTGAGTTGCCCATGTATCTGTGGGTCGATGAGCATCAGCATTGAAGTCGCCTAAGATGACCGCCTCAGAACCTCGCAGTGTTGTGGCAACACCCTGAAGTTCCTCCACTGCGAGGTCCCAAGATCGCTCTGGATAATCATGGCGAGGAAGATGCACACACACTACCCATAGTCCATGAGGATGATGATCAGTAAAAATTTGTATCCCAAACGCCCAGGAACCTAACCAAGTATCACCAAGACTCCTCAACCCATGTTTATCGACAGCAATGGCCAGTGAAAGATGAGATTCTCCACGATCTGTGCCTACGACGAGATAATCACTAATCTCATCGGACTCGCTGGTTAATATCTCACACAAACCTGAATTCTATAGTGGTGTCTTAGACAACTCAGAAAAGCCACCAAGTTTCTGAAGCCCCAGAACGTCATAGCCAGAGGGATCAATCTCCAACCAGTCATTAACTGAGTGCAAGGTTTTGCCTCTCAAGTTCCAGGTGGCGAAAATGCGCTGATGGCTTGCATCTTCTGTACGTGCATGCACTGCTCAAGGATCTGTTTGAATCTGGGCTTCAAGTGTTTTGACGTCTCCCCCCAAGGAGCGGTGAATAGCAGAGAGATTGACTCTCAACCCGCCGCTTCTTCCGCTCAGCTCGTCAACCACACTTCTGGACACCACACGATCATCTAACTTAGGCCGAAGCACACTATCGCTAAGAGCTGCAAGCACCTCGTGCAGCCCATCCGGCCGCCGCTCCTCTTTTCTTTTGAGGAGAAGACCCCAAATGTTTCCTGTTTGGGGAACATGGTTTCAAATCTTGGGCAATGCATCACGAACATCTGCAATGTTTGCCTCTGCAGGACAACACACAAGGCACAGGAACGGATGAGTGAAGCTGGATTCTGGCATGCGACGGTGGCCCCTCCGGGCGTCTCCTGCAATCTGCCTCCATTTGCGCAGCGGTCATTGGCCGCAGCATGTCATGCATGGCTGCTTGAAAACCTGTTGCCAAACAAAATCAATCTGTTCAACATACGATTGCATCAATGCTTTGCAGGTCTGCATCTGACTGATGGTCAAGACTGTCACCCACATTCTGCACGCACGAACGCTTCTACAAAAACGTGGGTTTGGGCTGCGCAATCAAACAGGGCCAACGTCTGCAAAGGCATAGGCCTTGCCTTCGTATAACCCATTCTGGTACTGCGCCACCCCATAAATTCATGAGCCCTCGAAACCTGTCTTAGACGCAATGGTTGCTGAAATCTGGCGTTGTTCCCTTCAAGCCCTGAACCCAGGCCACCAGAGGAACAGACGGACATATCACTTCCCTCACTTTCGGAACCATGGCTGATTCTAACCGCCATGCATATGAAAATCAATTTGCATTGGCATTGAGCACTGAAGAAACACCAGGTCAGAACATTTTGAACGGGAAAACAAACATCACTACATGCATCCTTTGACCGCGGCTGTATTGAGACGGTGTAATGAGACGGTGTAATGGCACTGTTGAATATGCATTGCCCTGCACCCTGCGGCCCACTGTGCAGCATGTGCGCAAACAAATTATGGCAATTGGAAGCCCTTGATGTTGATGGCACAAATGATTTTTCGGATTTTTGCTATCATGGAAAGGTCTCTCGCCCAAAAACCAAGAACATGGTTTTTCATTCATTTTCGCCAAGTGTGCTGCATAACAACTTCACCTGTCCGATGTGCTGCAGGCAACACGTTTGGACGCTCCCGCCAGGCATGCCCAAGCAACCACTACCATCCTCTTCTGTTGTTAGGACTCGGCCTTTGAACCTGCTAAGCACCACAGACCTGGACTGTAGGCGTGGCCATTGTTGCGTACATTCGCAATGGGCATCCCATCAAAGATCTTTTACTACAGGATTGTGGCATACCACGTGCATACTACAGGGAAGATCAAAAGATTTTTTTTGCAGTTCCGGGTTCGCCGGATTGAGTTTTATGTTTCTTCGCACGGCCCTCCCTCATGGGCATTCTGCCAAGAAAGCAAAACTGTGGGCAGGCAACCCCTGCATCTTGCGCGACCCCAAGAGAAGAGGGATCATTTTCAGTACCAGCTGCCGGGATTCATTGTCATAGTGCGCCTGGTGAGGGACATTTAGATTTGGATTTCCCCCAATCCATTGTCGCGCTTGAGGGTCCTACTACCAGATGTACCCAGGAGCATTCGAGCAAGATGCGCTGTGTGGGTTTGTTCCTTCATGTTCTCTGGAAAAAAGTGGGTCATGTCCCCGGCCTGTAACCGACCTGTGATCTTGCCACATCATCTCGTGCCAAGTCCGATTCAAGCTTTTTATGCAAAGGCGGATCCGATTTAAGCGCAATCCGCGGGAAACCGGCAGTGACATAATGCCGCGGCACACACGCTCTGTGCCCAAAATGCTCCACCTCGTACTACGACATCGCGTGTAAGATGGTCTGACACAGATCTGACACAGATCTGACAGAGATCTGACAGAACACCGGCAAAATTGAATGCATCTGGCATCGCATGATGGGGAAGCAGGTCATGTGCCTGACTGAAATGAATATCAACGGTAAACCTGCATAGCATGAGGATGTTTTCGTCCCTTCCTTTGTAGCGGAAGCACCCCCACCCTTGCTTCAGATTATCCCGCACCCTACTGCAATGTACGTTCAGTTGCCTCACCAACAGTCTTTCCAACACCGAATCCGTGCTGTGGGCAAGAAAGTACAACGGGAACATGTGGCATGAAGCGGTCTTCCCCGCCTTATTCACAAGGATGAAGGGACAACCAGAACAAACGACCCATTTGGAGCCAAGCCACGGCCACATGCGCCCCAAAATGGTTCATCTGCTCCATCAGCCAAGTCGACAAAAAATCTGGTAGGAGAACATAGCTTGCGTACTGATTTCATCGGGCTTTCAATGGCTTTCCTTCATCGAAGTCGAAGAATGACCTTCTTCAGAAAAATGAGCTTCATGGCATGGAACTGTTTCAAGATCGTTTGTGGCATCAAGGCAAGAGAAAAGCACTGTTAACACATTTGTCTTTCTATGTCTTTCTCCAAGCGCGAATTCTGATATGTTCCAGTACAAGCTTCGTAGTATTCAGTCGGCCAATGTCTCGGCCGAACCTCCAACCCGTGAAACAGCCAGGACTCAGCTTGTATGCCCACATCAGCCCACACAGGGATCAGGAGTTGAACCGAAATGGTTTGAGCCCAAAGCGCTACGTGCATTCTGCGCGTGCGGGTTTAAGGCTTTTGGTAGGGTTTCCGTGCCAGATGGCACTCAAACTGTTTACAAATTAATCCGGTGTCATTCAACCGCAAACTCTCCAGCATCCGCTCTATCCATGGATCATTTTATCACAAATAAGCGTTTAGGATACGACGCGTGTAGGGCAACCCGTGTCAGAAACTATGAGCGCGTTGTGGGAACAAGGCTGGCACACTTCAGCAACTAGCGAGGCACATGTCGGGAATCAATGGAGCGAGCGTCAGAAATTATGAAGATTTGCCCTACCCTGCCCTGCCCTTAAACTTAGCTCACCTTACCCCAACCCCAGAAATCACAGTCGACGAGCTCTATTCGTCTTCTACTTCTCCAACATGCGCCGCATTAGCATGGGACCATGTGGTGGTCGTCATAGCGCCCAAATGCAGCAGACCACACCTGCAAAGCCACATGCGCGTCTAGCATTAACTTTCCTCTTTCCTCATGCTACACTACCTGACATCCCTGCTCCATTAGAGCCTGCCCTCCCCAATGTCAACTCCTCTTGCCCTTGACCTTCCCCCTGCCACCCTTACCCACCAGACTCTGCCATGGCATGCCCCACCCTGACATGATTCCTGACTCTGAGCGATACAGCGTTTTCTGACATTCAGGCATGGTTCCTGAATCTCTCACCCAACTCTATCCTGGCAGTCCCGCCAAAGGCCTTTCCCAGTAATTTCCTGAATGCGGCCCTGACATGTGTCAACGCGCCGTTTGTACCTAAGAGCATTTGGGGTGCCGAAATGAGCCGCTCGCTGCCGACCATTTGCGAAACCGCAAGCCTTTAGTTCCAAAGGAAGCGAACGAAAAGGACGAGCTTTAGTTTTCATCTCTTTGACAGCGAAAGAACGATTGGGGCCCCCGAAGTAACCTTAATTCATTGAACCCCTCTGGCAAACACCCTTTTTACCGTTCTTTTACTGATGTCGGAACAAGCGGCCTAGAAAATGTCATGACGGGGGTTTCAAGACTTCAACTTATATCGCCGCAAGTCCTATCGAAGTTGTTGATCAAAACCTGGCAGCTTGGGCATGCAGAGTTGCTGCAAGTTCGACACAACAGGGTTTGAAGTGTTTAAGGTCATGCCCTGCCCAGGGTGTAAGCCTGGAAGTCTCTAAACAGATTTTATTCGGGATTCCAACCGAGGTCCCGGCTCTTATGACTGCGAAAACCACCAGCGTAATGTAAGCCAGAAAGAATACAGAAAACACGCTGCTCCTGGGCAGGGGTTTGGCCGACTTGGAGGTTACAAGATTCCGGTTTCTGATAAATGGACTGTCAGAGAGGAGCTGCCAAATGCATCGTGTGCCCAACTGTGTCCCTTCCTTGTTAGCATTGGTCTTTTGGACTTAACAGAACCTACTCCATATGATCCGGGCCTCCTAGAAAAGACTTCAGATAGCTTGGTTGCGGAACACGTCACGCAACACCAACAAGCCTCGCGAAGCAGGTTGCCTTCGTGGCTATCCTTCAACAAGAAACCAAGACCATCCAAGAACCCACGCGTCATTCACGAAACCTGCACAAATCTTGGCAGAGAGCTAAACCCAAATTGAAGGTCCTCAAACTCATTGCCCATACGGAGGTGAGGATCCAAGAAAAGGAAGCTGGCTATGTAGTCCCCATGTGAAACCTTCTCAAACCCTTAAAGATTTCTTACAAATATACGCGCTTCAAACTCCATGAACCTGTGACAGTATGACGGGGCAGCCCAAATCCAGTAATTGAGGTCAAAAGACACTTGCTCAATGACTGGTCGTGCATAAGTAGGCCAGTTGCCTACACGGGCACGACAAGACTCAGGCTCTGGAGGTCGAGGCGTTAGGGCTTGCGAGATGGCGCTTCGGTAACAGTTCAAAATCTTCGTAGGGAATGGTCGGTACAAATGAAAGCTTGAGGTGTCGGGATTAATCGGTTTCGACTGTTAGCATGTATTTTTTCTGGTTGCAAGCTTCGTTCTAGTAAAGGAAGCAAGAACTGCTGCTGCCAACGGGCACAGGCAGCGAATACAGAATGATGCAAGAGACATCAACAAGAAAGACAGAGCATCTTCCAAACGACAGAGAGTGTGGGCCATTAGAGAGTTTTGCAAGCTTTTTGGCGATGTAGGCCTTGGAGGCTTAGATGTTTGGAATGTCAAGTTCCAGGCGCAAGGACGCAGGGATACTAAGAAGCCACGGGACAGTTGCACACGACTCGCACCATTCCAGAGCCACAAGAAGAAAGCCCGAAATCAGAAATGAGAAATGATCCCAAGCACCATGCTATACTTCTCGGCCACTAAACCTGGCTACCCGGAAAGCCTCGCAAGAATATCACATCCATTGACCTTGGGGCAACACTCTGCAACTCTCCACTGCACCATTCGATACCATGAATCCAACAGGATTCCACTCATCATCGTCAAGTGCTGAGCAGGGGATGTTGCACGCGCTATCATCATGCAGAAAATCATGCGGACTCTCATTCAACAATAGCGGCATATAGCCCAGCGAACGCTTAAGCCCAAACCCTTATCGCTAAACGCTTCCACCTGAAAGCGTAATCCTGACCATGACCCTTATATTGCCGCACCAGCAAAAGTGATTTCGTAAAGCGTGTACATCGATCGCAGCGCCGTACCTCAGTTGAAGTTGCTTTCATTTGAAAAAACAATTTGTGTTTCAGACTGTGAAGCATTTTCCCACTGCAACCTGGCAGGACACAATCGATCAGAGCTTGTCTGGCCTTTCCGGGTTAAGCTCGCGGGCATACGATCCAAAGTTCTTTGCTCCGTCCTGCCCTCAGGAAAGTGTAAACCAACTGCGCTTGAAAACTTTAATAACCGCTTCGACAGCTAAACACAATTCAGGTGAGACTCCAGTTCCGCGGTTATCCCTTTGTTGCTCCCTGCTATACACGTACTGAGCCCTGCTGTAGCCCCTCTGAGCATGCAGGTGCCGATTGGCTGTGTCACAGTTGCCCCCAAGGCTTTTAGCGAACTTGCAGGTCAGATTTCAGGAACACATCTATTCCCCCATCCTAGCTTTACATGTTCCACAAGGGGTACAGATCAGCCCTCCTTCATGATGGCATGGAATCATCGTGAGCAAGTTAGGCAACCTCAAAGCTACTTTGCTTGCCGCACACATGGATAACAGATACGGAACCGGAGGGTACTTTGCTACTGTGATGGCTGACAAAGATCAGACACGAAGACCAATGTAAATTTCTCGCTTCCATACCCGATTATGGGCTTCTTTCGGGTTGCAGACCATGATCCCACTGGCTGTTCCTTGCCGCAGCTGATTTAGGAGCAGGCTCACTCAACCCTAGCTTGATAAGATGTATGACCCCATACTTATACGCCGACGCTCCATCAAAGATCATCAAAGAAAACAACGGTCAGGAACCGACAATGCTAAAGCTTTCTCAAACGAAGCACCATAGTGGATCCAAACCCACTCCCTCCACGCCATTTCTCCCTCCGGATTGGCGATGAACTCCTGTAACCTTGCCAGGAACGGATTGTGCTGTGCTCTGGGGTCCTCCAGGTCTACCCAAATTGCTTGATGCATGCACGGTCCAACGATATATAGCAGAGTACTTGCCTGCTAAGGCCTCGCATCAGTCCAAAAAGCACCGCTGGCCACCTACACAACGCGCCATCAGCTCAAACTTCAAGCCTGCTGACGCCTCTTTGCAGGGAAGACGGATCACCGAAAAGGCTTCTGACCAAGGAGTGCTGCCACGCTACTACTTACTGCACTTTAGAAAGCGGCGCCTGTGAGGCATTGCAGCAGTTAAGAAAGGTGTAGACCATCAATCCAACATTCCCCTCTTTTGCGGCCATTCTCGCCCCAAGTCTCTCAACGCATCGCTTGGCCAAGTACGAGTAAGCGTAGACATCAAGACATGTGACCACTGTTGTTCAAAGTGCGGAAACACTGCCGACCTAGCATGCTGCAGTCAATGATGCAAACCAATGAGCACCTGAATTCCCACCACTAGCCCCCGCAAGGTGTCATTGCCTCCCCAAACACCATTGTAGGTTTGCAAGCTTTGCTTGTGACCTGATTCGAGCCGCAGATTGCCCAGCATCAGGGCGCCCATTATCATGAAGACCGCCAGCAAAACCATGGACCAGCAAAGCGACGGCAGAAAGGAAATGCCTTGAACATGAAGGACACAGGGTTGGGAGCGGAGAAGGGTCTAGAGTCAGAGGGTAAGTCTTACTGTGGCTTAGTAGGGAATATGGGAATAAAATCCATATATAGTCCCTGTATGACACATTCCACTCTTGAACTCAAATAAGAAGAGCTATCTCAAAGCAGATTCTGGAAGCGGATCATGGTGAATCATGGCCTTTATGGCGAATGTACACAGCAGCAAACACTCCCTGTACATGAGTCCTACGTCAAAGCGGACAAACCTGCAACCCTTGGTCCTCAGCACATAATAGTAAATATACTATAGTAGCTTCCATTTTATTTTCCAGTATCCCAATATTATATCAACAATGAAATGATTAAGCCAATGATTGCCACTTACAATCCGGGAATCTATCATTATAGGTCCTGCTCCTTATTCTGGGACGCAGAGAATCGGACCAAGTGGCACGCCATGACAAGCACGCGCAGCCCACGAAACAGCCGCAAAGTACGCCTAGGTTCGGGGCGGAAAGAAGGTTACCCTCCCACAACTAACGTAGAAGCTTATAAAGCCTAAAGTCCCTTTTCCAAGGATGGCAGCCTATGCAGGCCCTTGTTGGGATTCCGTGTCAAACTGGGGAGGTTAATTGCAACCCTAAGCTAGGGATGTAAACTCAAGCTGGCTTAGGGTTTTTGGGATTTAGGGTTCAATGTGTTAGTGTACGCTAGGGCGTTGCACCAACTTAACCATGTCAAGGGCAAGAACCCCTGAACGCGCGGTACTGCTCCGAATTATGTGCCCATCGGTAGAGCTGAGCATGTACATGCGCAACAACCTCGATTGCAAAATTGCTGGTCTGACACCTCAACATGGAAGGAAGTGCCCGCTTCAGAACTTCAGAGCGCAAACAAAGCCCCCAGAACAGGTAGATAATTTAAGCCACAGTTGGTAGTTTTTATGGTGATAGAAGCACGGCCGGATTTCTGTATGAGACCGTCCGACTGACAAGGATTGATTTCTGAAATCCCGGGGGTGGAGGTTCACCGGATCTTCATCTTGAATCACGGACAGGATTAAGGACGAAAGCTTCAAGAGACTTGCAAGACGGCATGCTGAGTCTATTGTTATTGCTTTTGGCATTGAAGGTCAAGCCAAATCCCGCTGCAATTCTGTGGGAGTAACTACGAAATCATGTGCCACGATGGTTTATGAACGGGAACAACTGTCCTATCTTCACAGAACTCTAGACCAGGCTGCACCATGCGAATTGCCCGCATTGACTTGACTGCTCGAGCCAAGCGCAGCAGGATCATCTGGTCGGTGGCCCCACCTGCAGTTCAGGACTGACATTCCATGGGTCAAGTTTCGCAGTTGTCCTCTGTATGTGCGAAGGGATGCAGGCCGGGGTCAGTTCTTCTGTGAGGTTTCACGCTTTCCTGCATTCAACCACAACCATGCAGGCATGCTCAGGATGCCAACAATGTCCAAAAAGGGTCAGGCGTGTTCAGCACGAAACTACAAGCCAAAGGGTAAACCGGCTGGTTCTTGAGGAGTGTGCTCAAAATGTTTTCAAGAATTCAAACACCTGAGAATTGCACACCCTCGGCCCTCGACCAAAAACCTCACACTCCCGGAGCGTGAACCCTCAGTCAAAACCACCCACTACTGCAGAGAGAGCAGTTGCAAATACGTTTGGCCATGGATCCGTGGACTTCGAAACCTGTTGGACTCCGACTTCGAAACTTGGATTCTGTGCTCCTCACTACTTGTAAGGCTTCGGGCTTCATACATGAGATCATGCGAAGGTCATCTGCTGAGGTGACCCTCGACCTGGGCAAAACAATCCCCAGGACTTCACAAAAAGGCACGCAGAAGTGCAGGTTGGCAATGAGTTTGCATGTGAATCGTTTGAAAAAAATACGTTCAAGACCCATAATTTGTCAAGGTCAACTTGATCATGAAATGTGGCCGACAACCGACGCGAAACTTGCTGTGTAGCTAAGCACAAAACCTCGGGTCACCTCAGGTCCCAACTTTCTTCTACGTTTCAAGCTGCCAAATTTCCGCCATCACGGTTACAGGCCTCCCAAGGCCATCGGTCGTAAAAGCCAGACATCGAGGCACGTCGTGGTGGCGAGGAAGATATCAAACCAATTCCTTCACAGCACATCACTCATGGACATACTCATTGATACTCTTAAAACTGATGGTGCTTTTGCAAGTTGCACGCGGGAAGACCATCCCTCGTAGTGGCCCTAGTCCATGTCCGTAAATGCGCCTAACTCCCTTGAAGCTGCAGGGGTCCCATCATGACAAGCCATCAGGGAAAGGCACATAAGCACTGCCAAAGACACATCTCGGCTTTTGAAACAAGAAATCGTCAGCATCTGCACATCTTCTTGACATCTAACTGACATGGTTTGGGCATGTTGGCTAACGCCTGAATTCAATGTTTTTCAATCAGATAGAGGAAGCCAAAATCCCAGCAAATTCTTCCGCAGGGTTCCATTGCTATGATCACGCGCTTGAAGCCCCACACTCCCATCACCAGGCGGCGGTTCGATAACTCACACGAAGCCTAGTGCAAAGGTGAGTGGGGTCTTCATTGCACCCGCATTCTACCTCGCTTTCTGCCATATCTATTGCTACCATGATTTCACACGCGCCACGAACCCTCCGAAATCTTCGTGCGGACGGTGGTCGTATGTCAGCACGAGCGGCAACATTGTCATTATTGTTCCCAACGTCACCTCTTTGACATCTGCTACGCTCATTCATCAGCAGTGCAATGTTACGTGAGAATACCGGTGGTGGTGGCGGCAGCGGCGGCGGCGGCGGCGGTGGTGGTGCTGCTGCTGCTGGTGGTGGTGGTGGGGGGTGCAAGGAAGTAAGGGTCGGATGAGCCTCCTCTATCCCTTGCTCCTTCACTCGTAGGGCCAGGAGGGCTAAGTAAGTAGGTTTGATGGGTAATACGGGTTATAAACCTACTCACTACGCTCCCCTAACCCTCCAAGTACTTCTCTTCCACTTCCTCAGCTCTTCTTTCATGTCTGCTCTCCTTCCAGATGCCAGCTAAGTCTGAGCCCTGTTCTCCAAACCCCATCAGGGCGCTGCTCAACAGCGACAAATTCCGAGAGATCAATGCGCAGGCGCCACCTACCATAGGAGACACACCAGACCCCAAGGGCCTAAACCCTAAACCCCTAAACCCTAACTCCTACCCTCAAACGCCTAAACCCAAAACCCTAAAGCCCTAAACCTACAAGAAACAGGCATTGAGTGCCTAGTCCTATCATGCGTGGGGTGGGCTAGGGGCTTCTCGAGGTAGGGAGATCCCAAGTTGTAACCATTCGATCTCGCAAAACTCTCTGATAAGCACTTACATGAGCTATAGTCTAAACTCCTTAAAAGGTGGTTATCTAGTGGGTATACAGGGAAGTACTATAGGGATATATTCAGGGGGATACTAGGAGCTTAGATAATGGCTCATATAGATAATGTATGCTCTAAGGCATCTCACTTCTAGCTCCCTTGGTTTGGGAAGGCGAAACCCCCCTTTGCAGATGTGCCGAAAGTGTAACGACTGCTGGTCCACTTGTGTGGGTTTAGGGTTTAGAGGTGTCCTGGGCTTCTTATTCTTAGGTGGATGTCTTACAGATCGGTCCCACCATTGCAGCTCAACAAGACAGCCCCGACTACCAAGCATCCAGCGCGCATTTTAACAACATAAGAAGGCCCCTGTTTCAGCCACATCGGCCACATGCACTGCCGAGGGATTTCGATGGGGAGCCATCATCAGAGGGACACCTAGTCCGACTCTTTTGAATGCTGTACAGAAATGCCTGCACTATAGTACTTGAAATTCTATGTTGACATCCCTGGTTGTGACCTTTCCAGCCATATTTGTCGGCAGGGGCTGATTTGTACAAAGTCTGGGTTAAGGATTTAAGATTAGCTTAGTTGTCACCCAGGACGGCCCCTAAAGTCACTTGGCTGATGCAGGGGTCTCTTTACATGGAATAATGGTTTGGGGTATATGATGCCATAGGTATGTAGGGGTTAGATTGGAATAACATTGGTAAGCATACAGGCTTCTACATTACCATCCTCCTCTTGCGAACTTGAGGGCCTTGTACCTTTCATTCTGAGGACCACGCCGGCCGAACCGCGCTACACGTCGCCGCAGGAGAGGGGCTAAGAGCTTTGCATTTTTCATACGTTTTGGACACAGCGTAAACCCTAAACCATGATTTTAAGGCACGGTTTTCTGATGGGACTGCAGAAAGGATCCTCCTGCTTCAGGGTTAGGGTCATGGCAATTAAGACGAATTCCCAGCTCCGTGGCCTGAAATCTAGCTTTGGGAGGGGGCCTGGACAGGGATTATAGAGGTTTATAGGGTTATATAGGGGTCATATAGGAGTACGTGTTGTCTTTTTTTAGCAGACCCCCCTAGTCAAAGTGGGAGCCTTCAAAGATTAGGGTTTCATGTTTCTCAGGTCCTTGCGTAGGACGCGGTTGTAAATCTGGGTCTCTCCATGAAGCAGCCGGAAATGCCTCACAATATGAAGTCATCATCATTGGATCATCATGAAGGTGATGCGGAATCATCGTTCAACAGCTCGCATTCTTGGATTAGCGGGCCGCAACAGTTATCAGCATGTCTATGTTATGATTCCATGCGCTCAAAACTGCAGGGGTGTAGTCCAAGCAGGAATCCCTCACAGGTGCTAATGCAGAGACACCATACACCCATCCCAACTAGTAGAAAGCATGCGCCTGTGTGAATGGCTGTTCAGACTCTGTGCTGGTGGGTCCTGAACCCTAGTCCCTCAGCCCAACGCTCTAAGCCCCAAGCCTGAAGCACAAGACTCCAAATTGGAAACACAGCCCGTACCCAGGGAGCCCAACATAGCTTAATTCAGGAATATATCTTAAATCATTAATGTATATTCCCAAATTAAGCTACATTGGGCTCTCTTGGTACAAACTGGTGGATTGTAGGTGAGGCAGGATGCAAAGCCAAGGTGGCGATTTGTTCAGAAGTGTGGATAAGACGAAGAACGTTGCCAGTTGGAACTTGGATTTTCGGAATGCTCCCTACCCTTCTAATGTGGAACACCCCCTGGCCCGAGAGGTGTAGAAGCCACCATATAGCGGAAGAATGCAGAAGATGTGATTGCCACCGGTGGGGTTGGGGGCGTTTAAATGTAAGGAAAGCGGTCATTGGTTGTTCACTGCTGTTCTGCGGCGATCAGCAAATGACGCGAAGCAAGGGACGAAACCAGCAAAACTCAGGATTCATAATTCTAGGGCCCACTGCGCTGCTGAGGTCTGGGCCACAATGGGGTCGCGAGCGTCACGCTTTGAGAGAACTACTGCGCCCATGTGGTACGTAGCCACTGTATCAGGCACGGGTTCCGTAGAACAACAAAGGTAAGTAATAGCGCTATTGAGAGTAATACCACAACAATTGTGCCATTACAGTCTGCATGCCTTTGACACCCCGCAGTACCGCAGTACCTTTTGCCCCGAACGTTTCCATGCATTACAGGTTTCTCTTTGGAGGGCCTGGAGTTAGGACCTTTCATTTTCGAGATTTTGATGCTCTGCATTCAAGGGTACAAGGCGCGAGCTGATGAATACTACAAGGCTGCATGAAGATTGTGTGTCCTGAAATGTTTGTTGGAGAGATTCTTTCTAAGCGTTCGTCTGCTATTGAAAACCCAATTGCACGGTTGTCAGAAACGTGGTCTCTTTTTGCTTCCCATATGAGCTGTAAATTCCTAGTTTCCTCCTTAATAACCCCTATAGTAGTCCCCTATGGAAACCCTTGTATAACCCCTTTTAAGGAGTTCAGATTATGGCTCATATACAGATATACATTATGGCCCCAATTTGGGGGTCCCCAAGCTCGACCATCATCTTGACAAGCTTCGGCTTAGGGTTCTGGTCTCATCCTGCAAAAATTTCACAGAGCATGATGGCTTCCCACACTTGAATTTCCCAATACTCCTAAACCCAAAATCCGAATCCCCTGAGTTCCCCAATGTAGCAATGGGGTCACTTGCGTGGGGCGGCTTTGTTTTTTGGATGCTTTTTCTGGGGGCCCGACTTGTGAGTTGTTTGGATTCCTTTCAAGGAGTCCCCAAAGAGAAGTCTTCAAATGAAGGACCCTAAACCCTAAACCCTAAACCCAATATTTTTCAGTTTGTATGGGAGGTGCTCCTGATTGGATTTTCAACCCCTATATGAGCTATAGTCTAAACTCCTTACAGAGGGTTTTATAGGGGGTTATATAGGGAAGTATTATAGGAGTTATTAAGGGGTATACTAGGAGTTTAGACTATAGCTCATGTAAGCCCTGAACCCTAAACCCTCCAGATTCTCACGATGATGCCAGGTGTGTTCGCTGCTGGTCGCAGTGAGCTTAGCCAGTCTTGGCATGGGGATGAAACATGAACCTTACTGGGGGTGAGTAGACGGTTTAGGGTCTAGGAAATGCCTAATGTAGAAGCCAAAATCTTCAAAAACAACCAGAAGCGCAGTTTCCATCTCATGTTCCATTTGATCCTCCATTTCTGGGACAAATGTCCGTAAACCCTAAATAACCCCAACATAAACCCCAATATTCCCACTTAACCTTATACAACACCAATATAACCCCTATACAAACCCTAATATACAGACCCCAAATAACCCCTGTACATAAACCTTATACAAACTCTACATAGCCCCTAGATAATTTCTTGATAAACCCCCATAGCGGCCAGAAAAGTTCTTGATAAATCCCGATACCTCTGTGAGGGAATCCTTGCGCACCACGCTGGCCCATCTGAGGCCAGTCCGAAGTTCTCAGCCGTAAATTGCCAGGAGAGCATTCGGAAGTTCACATCTTGGGGCTGTAGGGTTTAGGGTTTAGGGTTCGGAAGTTCAAACTTTGGGGATAAAAGGGTTTAGGGGCTTATGACTGCAGTTGTTTTATGCTTTGCTTATGACAGTAGATTTCTGATGGGGGTAGTGCTAAACCCTAACCCTAAACCGCTTCTAGCCCTGGCTCCCAGTCAGGTGAAAGTCCTCCCAATAAGCTCAGTATCAGTGAATAGAGTTATAGTCCCCCTTTGAGTAGATAGAATATGGGGTATAAGGTGATCTTATT